ACTGGACAAAAATTGTCAAGGGGAACCTTTACCTTTTAACCTTTAAATGTTCTTCACACCCCAGAACAGTACTTGGGTAGGGTTGCCTTCCCTCTGCTCTCTTCTGATGGACAAAACCCTGTCTTATTTCTCTTACCTCCTTCAGGTGTAACCTTCTCCTTCTTTTGGAAGACTCAAGAGCAACAGACAAAGCCGCCGCCCGCGTACGGCGATCAAGTGCTTTCCAGCGGATTTAAAGTCTACTTCAGCAAAAGCAAAGGCTCCGTGGAGTTGTTTAACCGGCAGATTTCGAAGAAATGGGAGGCCAGTTTCATCCCGCCAGGTGACTTTATTTTTTTTCTGTGTTTGGCTTCTCTCTCCATTCTCGGCAGTAAACAAATACGGGATTGAGAAACTACAAGAAATCGCCCGTTTGATTTGCAAAAGATCGGTTCCTCGTGGAGACGGGGATGAGTAGAACTGATTGAATGATACGGTCAACATCAATAGACTGAGGATTTGGATTCTCCTTGTAGGGCGTAGCTATGGGATCATCATGGTGAATCTCTTCCAAAACGTGCCGCTACCTCCACTGGTTGCAGGACTGGATCCTTTTTTGTTGTCCTGGTTCTGCTGCTCCAGAAAGAGTCTATTCATGCTTGTTCATATCATCGTAGCTAAAAATCTTACTGATCTTCTCCTAAGGTTTGAATGCGTGCAGAATGATGGGCAGCCCGTATTGGCCATTGGTGGCTAATTGACGAGATGCCAGTGTGCTTCTCAGTCACAAGCCTGGTCACACACTTGAATAGATGACCGAGATCATCATTGGCTTAGAACTGCAGAACCTAAAGGGATCCAGTGGATCATGTAATCCAGCCCCTGTCAAGGAGGCTTGGTGGGGAATGGAGCTCCCAACCTCCGGCTCTACAGCCAGAGATCGAAACCACTGTTCTATCCAGCGGTTTCCTGACACCCTGACAATTAGCTGCAATTGGCCTCAGCTATAATTCTAGGATCCTGGCCCATGTCTCTGTGTTTTCTTCCTGTGGTTTCTCAGGTCTCCACTGGACACATGTGTTGTTTACCTGGAAATCTGAAGACGGTTTGAAAGTCTACGTCAACGGGACTTTGAACACCATGGACCCCAACGGAACACTGTTCTACAGCTACGATGACTCCAATTCCAATATGCTGATGGGATCCGAGGGGGACCAGGCCACCCGTTACATCAACGGGGCGTTTGATGAATTCATCATATGGGAAAGAGTCCTCACCCCAAAGGAGATTGAGCAGTATTTTACAGCGGCTGTAGGTAAGCGTTGATGCTCCCCATTTCCTGGCAAAAGGGGAGAGGCCATGCATGGATCAGAAAACAAGACGCCCCAAACATTCTCTGGGAGTTTGGAAAAGCTGTCCTTCCTTAAGCAAGCTTTGAAGTTTCTGGATTAAATCCAGAGTCTGAGTTCCTTTTGATGGTAGACAACCCTGTTTTAGATACAAAATAAATGAAAAAGGAGAAGTGTAATCATCCCTTTTCAACACTAAAATTCACAACCACGATGGGTCGCTTTTCCAACACTGTAACCACAAATGGGAACAAATTAGTACTAAAAAGAACTTTCTAATCCAGTGGTTCCCAACCATGGGTCCCCCCAAAGATGTTTGTAGACTACATCTCCCAGAAGCCTTCACCACGAGGTACGCTGGCCAGGAGTTCCGGGAGTTCTAGTCCATCTGAGGAACCAAGGTTGGGAAACCCCGGTCTAATCTCTGTAGACATCTTAAAACAAAGGGAAACGCATTCTTTCAATCAGGACCTTTGTCCGGAGAAGGCAAAGAAGGGGGGGGAAAAACACAACAACAACTTTCTTTCCCTCTGAGAAATAGGCCTGCTTTTTCTTTTTGACTATCTCAAAAATTCATTCCTGAAAATGAAACACGGCCAGGTTGGTTGTGGAAGTCTCAAACTGATAGGCAAAAAAAAGTGCACATTTTCCACCTATATTTATTTTTTGCCCACCCTTGTTTGGCCTTGATTTCTACAAAATGGCAGCGAGGGAGTCTCCTGCTCCCTCCATGTTAGAGCAGGGTCCCCCTTTTAAGAGCCGAGCATGTAGAGGTCAGCTTGCAAAGGACTCTTTAAGATACTTTGGTATCTAAGATACCTTGGCCGTGTTGACCATCTGCTTGTTCACTCAAGTCAACCGGTTCTGTCCAGGAGAATCTCGGCGTCAAGCAAAACTATGAGCAGATTTTGCAAGCATGGCCTGATTTTTACAAGGATTTGTCAGGACTCATCTTTGGTTTCTCCTCGTTTCGTTTCTTTTCTGTCTCCTATCGCAGCAGTATTTTGTACATGTACCTTTCTCTGTTTCTAGGTGACCACGCTTCGTTTTCTTCGACAGCGCCATGGGGACGACAGGCTTCAGCGACTTTTCCAATGGTAGGTTCCTGGGAGTCTCTCCTATGAACTGCGCGGTGTTTGTGATGGGAACAAAAAAACTAACTAACCCTAAGCCTGTCTTCTTTGGGGCACATCCTGAGAAGACAATAATGTTGGGAAAAGTGGAAGGCAGCAGGAAAAGAGGAAATCCAGATACGAGATCACTTTTTAAAAGAAATTCAGGCAGGATTTTAACAAATGTCTGGTTTCCTTTGAAGGGGCTCTTTGTGATTAGGGGCTGTATGTTCCTAGGTGTCTTAAACGGTTTTAGTTCAATAGAATTTAATTTCAAATACTGTTTCTGGAATAAATTGTTGCAGAGCTTCATGTTTTTCGTTCAATTCCTCTAGCAGAAGTGTAGGAACTGACAGGGCAGAATAGCCGCAGGTTCCCCAGATTAGTCCACCCCTTTTCCTCATCAACTGTCACTTCCAGTCTCACTAATTCACTCTGAGATGTTTGAAGGAGAAAGAATAAAACCATGTTTTTTTACTTATGACTGAAGAGATGAAACAGCAAACCTAGCGCAAACACGACTTTTTGCTTTCAGCAGCCGGCTCTCAACTGACTCACTGACTATTTTCAACATATTGTCCACAGAGAAAAGAAAAGGGAGAGAAACAGAAACAGAGCAGAGAGGCGGGGCTCTCTTTTTAAAAAAAGGAGGCAGGGAAGGAACTATTGGTTAGTGCTCTTAGTGACTGACAGATACCCAAGGTCCCTCCCAGTCACATCCATTAAAGGTAGCATGCGAGGTTGCAACAACTCCACCATTTTTCCATTTTTATTTGGTTTGTTTTTTAAAAAAATCTTGTTCGGAGTCACCTTGAGCCCCCGTATTAGGGAGAAGGAGCTTCTTCTTACTGGCCAGGATGGTGGCGGTCCCGCTGAGCTGGCATGAAGCCAACAGAAGCTGTTTCGAATTGATCCAGTGGAGAGAGGTTGGAAATTATTTAGGGTTTCTCTTACCCTGGCCTAATTTCGCCCTAGCGTTGTGCCTGTATCTGATCATCTGAAGAGGGTCTGGAGTCAGTGTGACTCTGCTTCTCCCCGGCGTCACTCTCCTTTGTTTCTGTTTCTTTAAATTTTTCTGCTGGCAGATTTCTGCAATCAGTGGGCTGAGGAGGATTCCGCGGGCAGAAGATGCTTCTTGTCTTTTCTTAACCCCCAACAGCCCACGTATCTAAGCGTTGGGATTGTGCCGAGAAGCAGCATATGGAAGAAATTTTAAATAAATCACTCTGCAGTTAGGACAATTTTAAAAAGTGTAGAATTTGGTTCCAGAGGTCACAAACATAGGCATGGTTGCACCCCATTCTGGAGCCAGGATACCACTTGCAAAACCCTCCAAAGGGCAAAAATTGACATCTCAGAACTGCATAAAAGTTTTCTCTCCCAGCCTGTGAATTAGGTCTGGTTTTAAGTGTCCACTCCTCCCTCCATCTGGAGGGTGGCCCGAAGTAATAGCAGGTTAATGTCCCCAAAGTATGTGAGCTGTAAATCTGGACTTGAAAGCATTTGGTTGCCAGAGCGATCGCCCCAACCTCTATCCTTTCCCATCAAAAATCCAGTTCTTATCCAGCTAGTCCTGAAATGAACAAGACGCAGCTAATGGGACTTTGATGGCGCTGTCATCAAGTGTGTTTAGCCTGAATGAGAAGGAGAGCAATTTTCTCTCAGTATGCAGGCCGATGTATTTCTCCCCTCCTTGAAAACCCGCTTTCACATCACTAGCTGTTAGGAATCTCTTACTGTGGCGAGTTCCAGTCTGGTTCGGAAAGGTGGTGAAAGACTCAGTTGTGTCCCCATGTGGCTTGGGTGTGTGTGTGCGCACGCCCAACCGTGGTTGCACAGCCCAGTAGGTCTGGGTTTGTCACAGTTGCACACAATGCTTTACAAGTCTGACAGGGGCTGATGCCCAGTGGAGCAGCCGGGGGCCATTAGTCCAGACAGAGAAGTAGAACCTCCATGTTCAGAGGGGGTGTAGCTTAGAATGGCAGATGACAGGATGAAACACATGACTGGTATGCCCTGCTTGGGAAAACTGACAGACATCAGGTCAAGCTCCAGACTGGATTACGAGGACCCAGAAAGACTTCGCTCCCAGAGCCATGACGGGGCTTCAAACTGGCTGCACGTCTGCCATTTTGAGTGCCCCACATTGTCCTGTGATGGAGCCTCGTTCCAGGAGATGGGGTCAAAAACATGAGGAACATTTAGGGAACAACCTGTTGTACGTTGGCTTTGTCCCCAGTGGGGACAAACCAACCATGAGCGAAAAGGAGTTAGAAGACTCAGTCCTCCATGCCAACTGGCCGAATCCTGAGGCCATCTTGTTTCTCTCTCCTCAGAGGTTCCCAGTGTTTATGTTTGTTGCTATGGCCATGGGTTCTGGTAGTTATCACCCCCCCAAAAAAACAAACTTTTTGAGCGCTGTTTCTCCTCAGGAACTTTATTTCATTGAGGTCTTCTGTGACTTCTGTTTGGTGGCCTTAATATTGAGAAGAGCTGGACAGCCATTTATTTCCAAGATGTGAGGACGCAGCTCATGTAGCTGTGACTTCTGTTTGGTGGCCTTAATATTAAGAAGAGTCAAATCTGAGGTGGACAGCCATTTATTTCCAAGATGCGAGGACGCAGCACATGTAATAATTCTTGGTACCAATCTTTCAGCTCTCCGACAATGCCTACCAGCCCATCATAACGAACCTTACAGAAATGAGAGGACACTTCGACCAACGGGATGCCATGCTGGAGTATCTGGGAAACATCTCCCAGGCTTTACCCAAAAAATCTCTCACGGCCGATGTGGCCTTCAACCTCACTGAGGTAAGTTTTCTTTTACCCAGCAAACTCCTCACAGTTCGCCGATTTGAGTTTGTCAGTCTTTCTCCAGCGGTCCGTCAACGGACGGGAAGAGGTTTCTTCCATGCGTTAGTCCATTTGCTGAGGCGATTTGTCAATTTGTGGGGGCCAAATTGCCTTCACCTCTTTGACAGGAGGCTACGGCGAATGTCCACCATCCAAGGAGAGTCAGCTGTGAGGGTTTGTGTTTTTAGGCTGAGGAGAACGTGGTGGGTTGTGGAACGAAAATGATGCACGTGAGTGCCACAAAAGTCATTCTGCTCTCTCTTTTTACTTCCTTTCACCTGGAAGTGGAGGCAGTTCAGGACCACTTGCGGCCTGAAAGATCAGTGGCTGGCGACTCCCGTTCCAGGGGGGCTGTGATTCCACTCCATGTTTTTGTCTGCACTTGACAGGGTTCAGCACCTTGGATAGCTCCTGGAATGGTCACATCAAAGCCCAACATGGGTTCACAGCACCCCTGGAATGGGAGTTGCCTGAGTTGAGGAACAAGATGGCGTCCCTCCCATTCCACATACAGAAGCCAACCCCACTTTCAAACCATTCTTTAATACTGGTGTTGGGCTACCAAAAGTCAGCGGATCAGCTTAAGAAAACAAGGGAATGCTGTAGGACGGGCAGCTTGGTTTGCCAGTCATTTGCTGCCAACTCTGAATAGTTGTCGCCTGAGGTGACCACCTCATGGGATTGCTTTGCTGGGCCTGTAGGAAAGCCCACCATGATATCATCGCCGGAAAAGACCCAACTGGGAAGGGGATTCTGGTCCATGTAGTCCCTCCCAAAAAAGGAACATTTTCTCCTGGGATATCTAGGCTGTGGGACATTTCCCAAACTCTGATGGCAAGCCATTAACCCCGCGTGACTGCAGAATTTGTGCTGACCTCTATGGATTTTCCTGTAACTGGCCCCATTATCTGACTAAGCTAGCTGCTGTATTCTGCCCTTCCGTTCTCCTTTTGTGTGTTAACGCCTGACGACGCCAGCAGGATTTGAACTGGGCCAGGCTTGAGAAGTCCCCTTTCAGCTCACAAAACTATGTCAGGGATTGCAGCGACCGGCGAATTATTCCGCTTTTCATGCTGTCTGGAACGACGGCCGTGATTCTGACAGGGATTGTACTCTGACACTAGAAATGAGTCCAGCCAGCTGAGTTATCAGTCGTTTGCCCTGACCAAAAAAAAAAAAAAAAAAAGGAAGAGGAGGAAGAGAGGGGAGGGGGGG